TCATTAAGTAAACTTCTGCTGATATGTTTTTGTAATTGCTGATATTTCTATGAGATGTTTCTTACTGCAGAAGTACATTGTAGAAAGTTTTCCTTTTTTATAAAAGAAATTCTACCAGCTGATAACCATCTCCACATTATGAAGCTATAGAAGATAGTTTCCCAGTGCTTCTTTAAAGAACATGCACTTTTAAAAATGGAATACTTTAGAGTTTTTAATGATGTTCACCTTTTTTTTTCCTACTGATTTATAGAGGAAAATGTGTCATATGGCAATTAAGATTTTTTGAAAAAAGCGTACAGCTACAAAACAAACTGATTGAAATGATAAACTGTTCATGCTTCAGAGCAGAGGGCATTTAAGAGAAAGGTGTGTGGTGACGACTAGCAATACAACTTTAACAAAGGTTTTCTGCTTTTTTTTAAATTTTATTTAAAGCTGTGCTTATATGCACATTTTTAGTTGTAGAAGTTATGGGCATATAATCTTTGATTATTTAGTTCCATATGTTCAATTGGCACAGGGTGTCACGCTGGAGTTGGGGAAGAGCTGTGTATATCTGACAAGTGCTTGCTTCCAGTAAAGAGTCCTGATAAAATGAAAACTTGTTGGTAATGGGTGATGGCATATATCTACCCAAATATTTAATTGATTGTGAGACACAAGTTGTTCTTCTAGCTCTAGCATTAAAATGGATTAATAAATGAGGAGGGAAAAAAACTGGGCGTGCAACTGCCAGGATTTCCTTTAAGAGAAGTACAAAAGCTCTTAACTGAGCAGGTGTAGCGTGTGAACAGTAGAAGAGGCAATTCTGAGGCTAAAGTGTGATCTGATGCATCAATTAATCCTCAGGTTTTTTTCTTCTTTATAAGAAAACTTGTCCCATAGTGTTTTAATCAAGTTCCCTTGAAAGAAAACAAAATTTGTGTGTTCTGGGTAAAGTAGCTCACACTCTACCAAGACTTCTGCAGTATCTGGTAGATGCCATCCCATCTTTAACCTTCTTTTCTCTTGGTTCAGAAACACTTTCAACAGTCACTGTCATCTGCTGCTGGAGGGTTAGGTTTTGGGGTTTTTTTAATTAAAAAACAAACAAACAAGAAAAGCCATGAGTAACTTGAGGAGATTATTTTTTCCAGTGGTTAGATCTGGAAACAGTAGTAGACCACTATTCTGATTGTTACCCAGGAAGTATTATGAAGAGACAGTTATGTTCAATTATGGTCATTTTAGTACAACATCTGTTCAGAAGATAATATGAGGGATTGTCTCAAGATGCAAAATGTTAAAATATCAATAATAATGTGCAACTTGGTGGCTTTTGCTGTCAAGACTTTTGACTTAAGCTGCTTCTCTTCTCTTAACCTCCAGCTTCCTGAAAACTTGCTGAGCAAGTATGACTGGATCAAGCAGTGGCAGCTCAAAGAGAAACCAGACAGGAAGATGGGAGAAATAAGTGATGAAATTAAAGAATATTTAATGCTTCTAAGGAAAAAGGTTGGAAAAATTGTTTGGTTTTGGTCATTTGAAAATAAGAAAAATGACAAAGATTTTTTGAATGTGATGAATTTGGTGTAAGGTTGTTTTTGCTAGGGGAGTAGTTCAAAGGAGTAGTTTGTTTCACATTTACACTTTTTTTTCTAGGAAGAAAATGATTGTGCCCTTTCAGTGTTTTTACTATATTATGTAGCCCCATTCTTTCCCCCGTCTTGAAACTCTGGAACCTATTTAAAAACTGTTAGTTGATCCTGTCTTACTTTATGTGCATATTCTCTTTTTCTTGAAGGCTTTTAAGAGTATTTCAAAGGCTGCATTCAAGCAGTTTGAAGGCTGGAATGAAATGTTACTCATAACTGAGGTGTAAAGAATACGAAGCATGTAGAACTTAGAATATGGGCAACAAAGGCTGTTACCTTATTACTGCATTACAATAGTTGTTTTGCCACTTTGCAACAATTTCTAACATCCTCTTCTTTTGATTTGCTTAAGGACTACTCTAGGCAAAATCTAACCCACTCAGCCTTGATAGGACTGCCACTGTGGAAATATTCTCGATTGTTTTTAAAAGGCTGAAAGCCCTTCATAAATGAAATTATTAGTGCCTGTGATCATTCGCAAGTGGCTTTTTGCAGCTCTTGCATGGTGATGGATATTGATACATGTTGTGTATGTTATGTTGTTGTTTTTTTTATAGTGGAAGAATATAAGTGAAATCAAGGATCCTATTGAGAAACAAGAAGCTTGTGATAAATTGTTTAAAAATGAACAGGAGGAGTATAGTCTCTATGAAGCGCTGAAATTTTTGATGCTTAACACTGCCATCAAATTATACAACGACGATAAAAATGGAAGGAGAGTTCCTGTCTTCTCATGGTTGCTGTTTGCACGGGATACATCCAGCAACCCTTGCCAGCTAATGCATAACCACTTGAATCATATTGGTCACAGTGGAGGCCTTGAACAAGTAAGGAGGATTTGTTCTTAAAATGTTGTTATTTTCCTGATTTAGAGATTTTGGTTTCAAATGACTTAAGAAATCATCCAGCTTTTGGTCTGGCTAAATGTAGTGGTGTAGTGTCTGGTCTTTTATTGGGACAAATAGAGTAGAACCACTTGCTTTTAGCAAGAGTCTGTAAAGGCCTTCGTTTTAAATATTTTATTTTATTTGGTGGTGGCATTCTTTGGAAGTATGGTATTCTCTTCATTGTTAGCTTTTAGAATAATAAGAGCTAACGCTCAAAGTATGAACAGAAGATCATGCATACGATGTATAGTTGATGAATTCTGATAATTACAGTTATTGCCTCTTACGTTGCAGAAATTATATGTATATTACAAAAAAGCCCCAACCCGAAATGTAGTGATAATGAGTGGAATAGTTTGAAAGGTTTTAGGAACATTCATTTAAAAAAATAATAAAATCCTATTGAATTACAAGTTCTTCTCTGGTTTAGTGACTAAACAGGATAAATACTGATATGAGAAAAATATTTTTTCTTGCATGTTTGTGGCAGTAGGGAAATGGGTTTGTCTGTATAAAGTAACTTTTCTTTAGGACTAATATCCTATGCTGTTTTTGGGTCCAAAGAGGTTCACAGTAAAAACATGGTGTCTTAGAGGGGTGTGATCGTGATACTGAGCTAGAGATGCTCATTGTTGTGGGTTAGGGCTGGGCCGGCCACTAAACACAGGCAGATGCTCTCTAACCCCCTCTCCCGCCTCAAACAGGAAGGAAAAGGGAATGAGGCAGAGAGACTTACGGGTTAGAAAAGAAAAACTAAAACAACTTTAATGAAACAATAATGGAAATAATAGTGTCTGCTGACTTCAGAAAGTGCAGCCCTTTAGAAAAAAATCACTAAACAGAACTGGGTTTTTCAGCTAAAACCAGGACACTCGTGTATATGCTTTCTCACTTCATTTTTTTTTTTTTTTAAAAAAAATTGCATCCAATAGGCATTGGTTTAGTATTTTATTAGAAAAATCTTGTTAAATGTACATTCCATTTTACATATCATATTTCTGCTTTTTTTCAACATAGGTGGAAATGTTTCTCCTTGCTTATGCTCTGCAGTATACTATACAGGTGTATCGCCTGTATAAATACAGTACTGATGAATTCATCACACTTTATCCCAATGACCCAGAGGAGGACTGGCCTGTGGTGACTCTCATAACTGAAGATGACAGACATTATAATATTCCAGTCAGAATATGCCAAGAGACTATGCTGTAAAGAAGTGATTTTTTTGGAGACAAACTTGTGCTGCTCAGTGAGGTTTCCAGTGCTGTTTGGAAAGAGGATGATGAGGAAATCTGTTAAATCTACAACTTGAAATCCATCTGAAATAAAATACCAAATAGGTAATAGGTTAAAGAGTATGGCTTTTGTTGCCTATAAAAAAAAAGAAACTTTTGCAATCCTTTTCTTTGAAGGGTGTCCTCTGAATAAAAATGCAAAAAGTATAGGTTTACTTCTTTTCAGAAGACACGTGAGGTTCTGTGGTAAGACATGAGCTGACCTTTTGCTCCTCCAAACAACGAGATAACTATGAATTGAAATTTCTGGAAAAGAAAGCTGGCAGTGTTCTGAGTGATATTTGTAACGCCGCTTAGAAGCAATTTGTACAGATCTTGGGCACCAGGAAGCAGTGTAATTTATTTTACACTTGGAATTTAATTCCTGCAGTGGTTCATGCTATACGAGGGCTGTTTTCTAATGCTTTGGCTTTTTTTTTGACATGAGTATCTGTTACTTAGAAGTCAGTCACCTGTTACGCTGAAATGGAAGAGCTCTTCGCCTTTCAGCCCCTTGAGAGGATCATGGCAAAAAGATGTGATAATAAAGGGGTATAGAAGTTGTTTGTTAGTAGGTCACAAATTCAAGACCTACATGGAATTCCCTCTTCAGTTATAGCTGGTGTGGGATAACCACATGCCTGTTCCATGGCTGTTCATGTCATTGGCCCTGTAGTATTAATCCTTGCGGGTAGCTGCTGTGGAGAACACAAGGATTTTCGTTTGTCCAGGGAGTACAGTAGATGGAGGTACACTACTGCTGCTGCAGCTCTTCTTCTCTTGGCAGGAGTATGTAGGAGTTTCTGTTTCTACTTAGAATCATTAATTATGCTTTAAACTGAAGGAATACGGGATATATCAGATGCTGGGAGTGCTGACATACCTAAAAGATAATGAAACCCTCACCATATAGCTTAAAGAGGAAGTATGCCTTAAAGATTATTCTTGAACAGGAGAGTGAAAGTTGATTTAAATTAAATACTGGCCATATATCACATGGCTTCTTTTAGAAGGCCTTCTTATGTAAAAGGGATAAGATTATAAAAACTACTTTTCATTTAAATATCCTGGAGGAAATGACATGCAAAACTTCTGGCATGCAAAACTTGAAATTCTCCCATTTTCTTAACCTTTTTTTTTTTTTTTAATTGTGAAAGGTCATTATGCAATGAATGTGTACTCTTTATGCTCTAAAATGTGTTTTAGACACATCTTAATCAGGTCTGTTATGTACTGTTACATTTATCTTTTCTTTGCCTTTTTAAAAAAAGCCTGTTACTGAAAATTGCTGGGAGCTACCAAGGAATAAAAACAATTCCATCTGGCAGTATTTTGTTCCTTCATTTATGGCCTGTTTTCTCTCTAGCTTTATATTTTTGTGGTTTTAATTTTTAAATCCTTGTTGAAGTTAGTTATTTCTTGAAAGCTGTAAAGCATAGTAACCTTTGTAAAACAAGTAATTCTTGGCTTTCTGCTTGCACATGGGCAGCAAAAAGACCAAAATCCTGAATTACTGTTACCCAAGTAATGCCGAAAGGAAAAAAATAATTAACTTTTGCAACTCACCGAACTCAGCTGGAAAAGTTACGATTCAAGAACCTGAAATTATTTAAATCTTGATATTTTCTAATCACAGCATTCTTGAGATTAAAACTTAACGCCTCTTTGAAAAAGACATCTTGTTCGTACATTTAGAACAGTGACCGTGTGTGGATGCCAAAAGCTTGTGAATGCAGAGGCTTTTTAGGGGCTGAGTTTGCAGCCATTAGATACATAAATGATTTGCATATTTGGCTTCTCTGTTGAGCTGAGCAGTGCAGGTCTGAGCAAGAGGTACATAGAAACCTTAAGTCACATATTGTTCCTGCAGTTGAGTAACAAATGAGAAAAACTGATTTTGCTTTGTATTTTCCATCCATGTTTTGGAGATAAGCAATGAGTCTGTACTGCGGTGTGCAGTATATTGATTTAACTTAAATTTTAAATAGAAAATTGACAGCTGACAGTTTTTAATCTAGATTTATACAGTGGATAAATACGTTTTTTTCTTTTGGATATCCACTCCCCCATATACTACTGAATAAACTGAAAGAGTCCGTAAACTAAGTGAAAGCAAGGGATGGAAAAAGAAGAGGAATAGAGGTCAAATCAGTTCAGTTCCCTGCTCTGAAGTCTTACATGAATACATTTATAAAAGCTTCTGTACTTCAAGTTTGACATACTAAAGGGAGGCAGGTGTTTTAACACCTGGCATACTTCTTTAGGTACAGTCCAGATTTTTAATCCTGTGGTATATGAGCTCCTAGGAGGTAGTAGAGATGAAGGGTATCCACTCTGTAGTTGGTGTTTTGTGCAAAAACACTCTGTGCACTTTAGTCCCCTCTTTTTTTATCTCTACTTTAACCATCGATGTTACATCCAACTTCTGCCCCCTGTACGCTCTTTGGAGAAGGAGGCACACATTCATCATGTTCTTCAGAGCTATGTTAGCATACTTTCAGGTACTAAATACAAACATCCTGCTTTCTATCATAGTGCTTTGACTTGGCTATCTGATTGCTTTTTCAAAAGCACTTGAGTATGTTGTTTTTCACTAAAACTAGTTGCAGTCTGCACAAAGCTTTTATTTTTCCTTTCTTTGGGGTCCTATTAAGAAAGATGCTGTAAACTTAATGGGTACTTATTTTCCAGCTTCCTTTCTGTTGGTGGAAGTGTACAGCAGAAGATCTTGTGTGAAGGAAAAGAGAGGTTCAGGTGATCTTGCTGGGCTGGGAGGAGGGGACCAAAATGTCATCTTACCGTGCGGGAGTAGTCAGCTGTGGGGAGAGAGGTGGGCTGCGCTAGCGCTGCAGCAGGCAAGGCAGCAAAGCTCAGGCTGGGTACAGCTCCGAGAAGCTTGAACTGGAACCAGCTTGATGGTGTCCTGTAGTAGCTCACCTCAGGCCCTGGCTGGCGGTGGAGGTGCAGGCGTGTTTAGTTCAGGACTGTAACTTCATTCTGATAGTTGAGTCTAAGCTTGACCAAATCTTGGCTGAGTTTGTGGGTGACAGCAACAGCCCTATCGGCAAAAACTAGTGAAGGAGGGTGAAGAGCAAGGTGGGAACTTGTATCTCACTGGAGTGCTGGACGTGTTCATATATCTCACTTCTAGGTGTTAAAAGTGGGGAGTGGCAGCTCTTGCATTGCATGTCGAACGCGGGACTTGATTAGTAATCTTACATCCTTAATATTAAATACTGTTGGTTGTGCAGCCCCTGCATCTTGTTGTCTTCTGGACACAATTGCTGTTTGTTTTCCCAGTATGCTGGCTGGCAGGACAGCGCCAAGGACGTTTGAAGATGGCCAAAAGTACTTTATGAATGCTCCCTTTTTTGGTAATGGTGGAAGATCACAGGCAGCACGTTCTGGAAGAATGGTACTAGATGAATAATTGTGCTATGACATCAACTAACGTGCTTCAAGGCAGAGAGATTAAAAAGAATATTTCCATTTATAAATTTCTTGTGGAAAAGAATCGCAACCTCTGAGAAATGGTAAGGAAATGTTAATTCCATAGAGCTTGTAGTTAAGCAAGGAAGGTTTAGCACAGTAGAGACCTCTCAAGGAAGGTGCCTTTCTAGTCCCTTTCCCCAGAGCACTCATTTCTGCATGGGTGCTGATGAGTTGCCCTTACTTCTGTTCACTACTTCTATTTAAGTTGATGGGTTGGCAAAAAAACACCCTGAGATGTACTGAGCCGTGGAAGAACTAGTCAGTACTGACTAAAAAATGTTTTATCTGGGCTGTGGGGTGAACGCTGTGGCATGCTGAGGAAGGAGTGGAACATTGAATGTCATCGCCAGCTGTCTCCTCCAGAGGACTGTTTGCCCAATTTGCCACTTTCTGGAATTGTGGGGTTTGGGGTTGTTTTTTCAGACACCCTGTCCACTAGATTTTTGGTGTGATCTATTTCCTTAGACTACTGCAGCAGACAGCTCCTGCAGGGACTGTATAAGTGGCCTCTGCATGTGCTTTTCATTGTCAAGCTTTCACTCTGATAAAAAACAATACATAATTTTTAATTTGCTCTGATAAAAAAAAGAAATAATTGGAAAAAGACCCCAAACAACCAAATCCCTCATTTTATAGAAATTAAGTTAATATGTAGCCTGACTAGAGTATTTTTTCCCTCACTTTCCTAGAGTGAGAAAATCCTGTGTTTGTGGCTTGCTGGAATGGGGCAGAATTTAGAGACTGCCCTTGTTAGATCTGTTGTGTACCCCCACTTTTTTTCTTTTTAAGAAAAAAAAAAA